GAGGGCTGCCCCAAACGTTGCGGTGTGACACGGGGTGCTCACAGTCCTCCTATGGTGAGCTTTCCTATTGGCTTTCTCTACAGTGACGTGTGTTGCTTTTTAGTTTTTATTCTCTACTTTGCCTCTTTTTTCTCCAGTTTCCAAAGTGTACAGGGGACATCAGGATTCAGAGTCCTGCTTTAAGGGAAGAATAGCGTGAGTGGATGCTGAATGTAGATGGCCATTAGGGCTCTTCCAACTAGTCAGATGTTGTGTAGAGCAAAAACCCACCTGCAGGGCAAGATTGATATTAAGTGAAAATTGAACGAGTTTTGGAGCCATTTCAACATTTTTCCCTTGGTTTTTCCAGCTCCAGGAATGAGAAGAAGCTGTAAAGGAGCAAGCTAGAAGCCACTCTGGGTAAAGCAAAAGAGGTGCAGTAATTTAAGGATGCTGATTGCCTGAAGTGCCATTTGACTTGGTGTTTGTTATCTGGAGCCATTGTGTGTTTGCCAGCTTTAGTGCTTCTCCCTTTGAAGCACTCGCAATACGGAATTGGAAGTTGATCAGATGACTTTAATAGTGAAGCTGACAGGAGCTGTCAGTGCTGCAGGAGCCCTGTTCTGTGCAGCTGTCTGCGATGGGTGCATCGAGCAGCACTCAACATCTGCAGCTGTTTCCTTCAGACAGACACGCAGACAAAAACCCTGCCTTCTGCATCGCTTCCTGCGGATTTCTGTTATTTCCTAGAATCCCGCTAGTTCTCTTTGTTGTTTTTATTTCATTGATAGCTTTGCTTTGCAATTGTTTCCTTTGCTCTGCTGTATGAGAAGTGTTGAATCACAGCCTGAACCCCAGACGGAGCAGCTGAGGAAAGCAGCCGGTGAGCCCTGGGAGTGCAGCTGAAGGCAATGGAGCTCCGTGGCTGGAAGGGGCGGAGACTGGCTGCCTCTCTTGGAGCTCATTTAAGGGCTGACTGGCACAGGGGAAGGGCTTGGTTCTGGAAGGTTCTCTGCCATGGAGTTTGAACTGTCGGTGTAAATCCTTGGAGATGGTGAGCAGTTCTTTTCCTGCCTCTGTAATATACTGATATTATGCTGGTGTTTCTGCTGCAACATGCGTGATGGCTTTCTTTCTGATTTGCTTTTTGTGTTGCGTGGGGCCGGCGGCCGTGCGTCGCGGCCGTGTCCCTCTGTCATTGTGAAAACCAGATGGATGGCTCGTCCTAGTGCTTGCTAGTTGATGTGTGAGAGCATTTGCTTTTTCCAACTGAATGATAAGAAAATTAAACATGCTGAATCGTTACAGCTTATGCAGAAGTTGCGAATATGCTCTTCAATGTTTCCTTTAGTGATAAACTGTGTTTCGGCACTGTGGTGGTCCTGTCTCTGATCTGGAGCACTGCATCTCTTGCAAGCCTTGTGTGCCTGTTTCCATGAACCTTCCTTTCTTTCACTTTTCAGAAATGCTGGGTGCTTTTGGGGGAATTATGCAGGAAGCTGTCAGAAAGCTAGCTGTGATTTTCCTCACATGAAGGGATGCAATGGGAATGGACTGTCACTGCTACCAAGCAGAAGTGAGCTGCTTATGTCATGAAAGATATAATATTGGTTATGAGCAGTTGCAGTGCGATGGGGGACCTGAAGTAATTGTTTGGGAGTTCAGGGAAGAGCCATGAGAAGTGAAATGGCAGTTTGTGTTTTGGCTGTCAAAATGGTGGAGCTTTACTGGAGTGAAAGGTGTGGGCTTTGTGTAGGCAGGCCGCGGGTTTATTTCTGTAAGCAGGCCCCCTCTCAGGTTTGGTCTTTGCTTGCTGTGCTGTGCCTGCCTTCCTGCTCCCTGTGCTTGCTGCATCTGGTACCAGTGGTTGTGGCCAGGCTCCCCAGGGCTGTGGGCCTGGTCCTGAGCTGCTGCAGCTGAAAGACCATCTGCGCTTGGGTTGTCCTTCCTGGAGCATCAGGTTGGACTTGGTGATCCTTGTGGATCCCTTACAACTTGGAACATTCTGTGATTGTATGATCACACGGAGCAGGCGTCACCTCCTGCGAGCTGGGAGCCCTGCAGAGCGTGCTGGATTTGTTTTCCTTCCTTGTTGGAGCGCGATGCCCCATGTGAGGCCCCATCTGGACTGCTGCGTCCAAGTGTGGAGCCCGCAGTACAAAAAAGACAGGGAGCTGTTGGAGAGGGTCCAGAGGAGGGCCGCTAGGATGATCAGAGGACTGGAGCAGCTCCCCTATGAGGACAGGCTGAGGGAGATGGGCTTGTTCAGCCTGGAGAAAAGAAGGCTGCGGGGTGACCTCATTGCAGCCTTCAGTACCTAAAGGGAGCCTACAGAAGGGAGGGGAATCAACTCTTTGGAAGGGTTGATATGTGCAGGATGAGGGGAAATGGTTTTAAGTTGAGGGAGGGGAGATTGAGGTCGGACCTCAGGGGGAAATTCTTTACCCAGAGAGTGGTGAGGTGCTGGAACAGGCTGCCCAGAGAGGCTGTGGATGCCCAGTCCTTGGAGGTGTTCAAGGCCAGGTTGGGTGGGGCTCTGGGCAGCCTGCTTTAGCATTAAACGTGGAGGTTGGTGGCCCTGCATGTGGCGGGGGGGTTGGAGATTCATGATCCTTGAGGTTCCTTCCAACCCTGGCTATTCTGTGATTCTGTGTTGCTTTTGTAGGTGCTGTGTGCACTGTAAGTAATTGAACTGTGCTGAGACAACCGGTGTCCTACAGAGAGCCCCAAGGTCCTTAGTTTAGCGAGGGCCTTTTTCTGCATCTCTCAGTTGTTTTTTCTTCTTTTCTCCCTGTTAGTGTGACACCCCTGGCCCGTCAGGTAATTCAGCAGAGAGTTGTGCCTTCTTATGAAGCTGTGACAGGTGGGTGCATCCAGTTCATTGCTGGTATGACAAAGCTGAAGATGCCTGAGTTGTGTGAGAGCTTTGGGAATTGGATGGAGAGTTCTTGAGCGAGGAAGAGCCCTGTGGTCCTGGCCCCTGGAGAGAGGGTGGGATTGCTGAAGGGAGAGAGCGTTCTTTGATCTGAGGGGTGTAGGAAGGGATCTGACAGATTTTGGGTTCCTTTGCCGTGCTCTGCCCAGGCTGTGACAGTGCTGGGGTTCGATTTTGTGTCACTCTGAAGGCAAAATCAGACAAAGGGTTTTTTGTGCAGCCCGAAACCCTGCAACTCCGCTGTAGGGGCTGCAGCCCAGGGTAGGTGCCCTGTCTTTTTCACTGCTTTCTACGTTAACCAGTGAAATGTTTTGTGTTCACTTTGATACTGCTCTGCCTGCAGTCATTCATGCAGCACCAAAGCCCCTGTGCAGTGCATTCCTTAAACCCAGAGAAGAAGATGAGTTATTTGTGGGAAAATTATATGACGTACATTTTTTAATTGCCAAATCTGCCTATGATGTACTTTAAAAAATGATGATTTGTTTGATAGAATTGGCTTCAGTTTTTAATTTATTTTTTCCAGTTGATCCTTTCTTTTGCGTCCTGACTTGATCCGTCTGGAGCTGCTGTGATGGCCTTCCCATTGCCCTTAGTTCTAAGGCTCTGTATCTGCTGTTCCAAACCAGCGTTCTGTGGAGCTGAACCCAGTAGAGAAAGGTCTGGTGCTGAAGATTGCGGAGCTGTTATGTAATGAAGATGCCAGTGATGGAAGAGCAAACTGCTGGGTTGAGAAAGCTGCCAGGCTGCTCCCTGGGAATCCTGTTGCTCTCAGATTGAAGGCAAGTTCCAGCTTCTCATCTCTGCTTTGTGCCTTGAAGAACCTTTTTGTATCTGACTGGGTGCTTGTATCATGTCATCTGGTCGTCTCAATATTTCCTTGGCTAAATTACTTTAGAATCAGGAATCTTAAATCAATTCCGTATTAGTTTCTTCGCTGCTTGCTGTTTTTGTCTAGCTTGCATGAAAATTGCAGCTCTGGGCTTCCACGTGCATTTTAAGGCTGATCTCTTCAAGAACGTGGGGAAACTGTTAGTCATAATGTCTAAGAAGTTGGGTTTAGAGAGGCAATACTTGATGTGTCTGTTGTGACTGAGCTACTTTTTAGTTGTTTGAGTTTAGAAATGAAGCGTGTCAGAGGTGCTGTCATTCTCAAGTACTGTGTAAATGCTTTCAGACCACATCACTTTGGCACTTAGTTTTATGTAGCACAGCAGCCGTGACATTGAGGTTCTCAGGGGCTTCTGTTGGCTTTCTGTTGTTTTACTTGGGCTTGTATCTGATCAGTAAGTATACAGATGTTATGTAGTCTATAGAAAAGTTCGGCTGGTAAGATGATCATGTTGAGAAGGATGATCAGAGATGAATGAAGAAGTGTTCACTGGTGTGTGGGCTCCCAAGAAGCTGCATGAGGAGTGATGTGCAGAGAGAGATCCTTCCTCAGTGGCAGTCAGCCCTGAGTTGGGTCTAGGAGGGGTGCAGCCGGGCTCCATCCCTTCTGGTCACACAGCTGCATTGCCTTCACCTGTGCTCCCAGGGCTGACTCAGCGCTCACCTGAGATGATCAGCCAGAGGTTCAGACTGTGGTTCAGCAGTTCCCATATGGACTAGCTGTTCTGTATCAAGGTGTGCTGTCTCTGAATCAAACTGTCTGACAGCCTTAACATCTACAAGAGGCACATTCTGAAGTTTTTTTTTTTTTTTTCCCCGTTATCTGGTTTCTGAGATGTTGGAGTAATTTCATCAAGTCTGCAGTCTGTAGTGGAGGTGAAAAAACGGTCAGGTAATGCAGTTGTTGAAAAGACAGATGTGGAAAAAAGTATGAATATGTTGCCTTCATGTTTAATAGGGGAAGTTACTAGAAGATAAAAGAGCTCATTCCAGCCATCTTCACCTTTATGTGGCTCAAGCTGAACTCCGTGCAAGACCTGACAACGTCTCCCATAACATCAGACTGGTTGCACTGTAGCACTCACGCCATACATTCCGAGGTGCTGTGCTCCACGTTCAGGAGGCAGAGAAGGAAATACCTCTGGAGACGAGCTTGGAATGCTGTTCCTGTGTCGTAAAGACACGTGAGGTATTTCGTCATCTTTTGATCCTGTCGTAATCTTTCATATCCTCAAAACTGGTCACAGTCTCTCAGTTTCGTTCCACTGACAGCTGCTGCTCAAGTGATTTAACTCCTCCAAATGAAAGTCTGCTGAAGCCAATTGTTGAATGGGGATTTTCTTCCTAAAGTTAAACCTTGTGTATTTTCTAACTTCAAGACTAAGCTAGATACAGCAGCTTCATCAAGGAGAGAACTGCTGAATGAGCTCCTGGAACTTTACTGCTGCAGGATATGTGAATGCCTCACCTGTGAGAGTGGGTTAGGTAGCAGTGTGTTCTGGAGAAGTGATGTCCTTGCCTTCACAGAAGGATGGTTATTCCTCTTCCTCTGATGAACTTTGTTCTTTAGAAATACCTTGAATCAACCCCGGACTTGGAATCTAATGCAAAGAATTGGAGAGCTGTCAAGAGCGGTCATCTGCTGGCTCATTCTGGCTTTATTAAAATGGAATTTGCTTTGGGAGATGTCCGTCAGTGCAGAGAGGCACTTGAAACCCATTGTTTTATCCTTCTTGTATTTAAAAAACAAACAGAAGCAATCCGGAATGGAATATTTTTTTCTCAGTCAGAGAACATCTAGCAGGTATCGGTTTCCCTGTGTGACCAGTTTGTGGACAGGAGAGGAGTTTCTCTGTACTGAGGTTCTTAGCAGGCTTGGAGCCCAAGCTATGTATTTGTCCAAGCTAGAAGCCTTGGAGAAGACTGGGTGATATCTAGGGTCAGTTATCTTCTGCCTCTTCAGTAAGAGAACGTTGTTCTGTATTTCAGTAGCTAATTCAGATTTCTCAAACATTCATGGATCAGCTTTGTCCTGATCAACTGAACACAACCCACAGTGGAAATAATGAAGAATTGTAGGTCTGCAGTATGAAAGAGAAGCAAAAGGCCACTTCCAGAAGAACATTCTCCTTCAGAAAAAGCCGATAGGGCCAGCTATGCCAACTGCCTTCAGGGCAGATCGTCTGAGGCACAGCTGGCATAGTGCAAAACAATGTTTGTAGCCAATTCCTTGGTGAAGTTCTATGTTCCATTCTTCCCATTATGTTTCCTTTCATACTGACTTCAGCTGATTTCACTTCCATAAATGAAGGTCAGAGCTTTGGGCACTTAAGGCTGTTCTCCTGCTTCCTTGTGCAACTCAGACGTAAACAACTGAGGGGGTCGTAGCAGTTGAATCGTCCACTTACTTCGTCTACAGCTAAATAACATTGATTCAAAGCATGCGATGGCTTTTAGCAGGACTTTTTTGAAAAGGAGTCTTTTCTGCCTTGTAGTTTTGATCGTCTCCTTCACTGTGTGGAACAGTGAGCTGAGGAGCTGTCTGACACCTTCCTGGAAATGGAAGGAAGCTGTACGTGCGTGCTGGGACGTTTCTGCTCAAGCTGCCCAGCACAGCGAGGCACAGTGCAGCGATGCACGCCAGCTGGCAGCACTGCGTGATCTGAGCAGTTCTAGCGTAAGTTACTCTTCACTTTCTGCCTCCAGTTGATGCAGTGCTTGACCACTCTTGCTGTACATGTGTGGAACGCCCATATTCCAGAGATGAATTGGTGTGTGTAAGGCTCCCTCCTCACTACGTCTTACTCTTCCACATGTCTTTAAAATATTTCAAATGATGTGGAGGAAATCAGAACAGCTGGGGGAATCACTGGAAGAGTGTTACATTGCCTTTTCAAAATGCTTGGTTCCAGATTGTTAACCAGAGGCAAACAGGTGGGAAGAAGTTGCTAGGAGGCTCCTGAGATGGGAGAAATCTTCAGAGCTCCTTCCTTCTCTTGTAATGAAGCCCAGCTTAGATCAGATGTTAGTCTTCCTCACTGGGGTGTAGATGCTGACTTCTCAGTGCTCTGCTTTCGCCCAGGTGCTGTTGGAATGCACAGTGCAGTGTGCTGGTAGTCCCCAGCACCCTGTGTGGCTGGGTTTGCAGTGGAACTCTATGTCGGTGTTACCCCAGTGCAGCCATTGTTAAAACTACTTTGTCACTTGCTGCAAGGAACATCAAGACTTGGGACTTGAGACTCCCGAATCCATTTGCCTGTTGGACCTTGAAGTAAGCACACTTTTGTACATCTTAAATGCATTTGAGTGCTATTTTCTCTTGATTCTTTTCTTCTGTATTTTCCTTTCTTTTCTTTCTTTTAGTACCTAATTTTTTTTTTTTTTTTTTGCTTATTTATTTTCACAACAACAGGTATTTCTGCTCGGGATGGCATTCACTAGCAATTTAGAATTGCAACAGAAATTTAGTGCTCGTAATGAAACACATCAGCCTCCTTTCGTACTGCTGCTGCTGTGCAAACAGTGCTGTACTGAGAAGCAAACATCCCGGTGGGATGCTGTTCGTATTCTCATGCAGAATAAAGCAGTGTAAGAATTCCTCATTTTGGCAGTATTTGAAACAAGCCTTTAGACAGCTTCTGAATAGATTCCCATTGTTTGTGTAAAACTCTTATCACTGTATAACCAATTACTCCTCTCAAGGCTCTTGTTCTCTAATTTGTGCAGTTCAGGATCAGTCCCTATCCTTTGTCCTCCCTGCTTTGCTGTCCTGTACTGATTTCCCTGAGGCTTTTCTTCAGCTTGCTTTCCTTTCAGTGCTGACAATCAGGAGTCACTCTTAGTTTGTATGCTGCTGTGTTTGTTTTCCTCGGCACGTTCCTTCTTGATGTATAGCAGGTGCTGGTGAGAGCAGAGCCCTGTTCTCTGTGAGTGACTTGTGCTGAGCCAGTGTTTATTGAGCTGTGATCTGCAAGATTAAACACAGCTTCAAGCTACTTGTGTGGAATTGTGGCATGCACTGCTTTGAATTTAGTCCTGCTGGCCAGAGATGGACGAGGCAGGGATGTTGGGATGCTGAGAGAAGGGTTGGTGTTTGATACACGCGGTGGATTTTATTTTTTAAGTGAGCACTGGGAACCAGTGGAGTTGAGCAGAGGAGCCTTAGTGGTGTGGTTGTATCAGGTGTGCCTGATTGCATGATGACAGGTGGCCTTTTAGTGGAGTTCAGGCTCTGACCCCTCAAAGCAGTAACGGAACGAGTTCCGGGTGATAGCAAGACTAATCCAGAAAGGTTTGGATGAAGCTGTCCCAGAAGAGTTACCGATCCTTAGCAGCCTGGCTGGTGTGTGATGTAATTACAGAGACGTTCCTTCCTCTGTTTTGATGAAGTAGCTGCTGTTACGTAAGGGCATTAAGCATTGGATCTTAGCTTCAAGCACAGTGAAGGCAGTTGGAAGGCAGGAAGGTGACGAGTTGGAATCATACTGTGAGCCCAAATTCAGCAAACCCTTACCGCTAAACAGGGGCCTTGGGTGTGTTTTAAAATTTCTGATTCCTGTGAGACTTGAACGTGTGTTTATAGGTTTACAGTGTAGGTGCTTAGGAGCCATGTTTTTCCTAGGGAGAGCGGTGTGCTTGTGTACCTTGTGTGCTCTTCAGCAAGGGCATGGTAAAAAGCAGTCCTGGATGTTGGGTGAGGAGCAGAGTGAGAGAGGAGCCCAGTCTCGAGACACCAGGGGAAGCAGCTGGCTTCAACACAGCCCCCAGGTGGAGTGCCAAGGTGATGAGATGAAGCAGCTCTGAAGGTGGTTTTCCAGGAGCTGTGTCTTCCAGGGCTCGGGACCAGAGCTGTCACTGGGGTTGCTTTCACAGGACACCTCCCAGCCCTCCTCAGGTCCCATGGTGAGTGTGTGGGTGACAAACGTGTCACTGAGCGACAGCATCAGGGTGGGAATGTGTGGAACACAGCACCCAGGGGGGAGATGGGCAGCCTGGGGAGGGGGGGGAAGGAGAAAGTCTGCCCTCATTGGAAAAAAGGGCCTGTAGAACGCCTTGGGTGGGATGTTGGGGTACAGGAAGTTAGTGAGGTGAAAATGTGCCACCTGGGTACCGTTTGAGCCCCCCAACTCCACAAGTGCTGAGCAAAGCTCCCCAGCGCCCCTGGTGCTCTGTGCAGTTCCCCAGTAAGCTCCCGTTGCCTCTCAGCGTTGCCTCGACTCTCCTTGTGCAAACTTGGTGCCCCTGATGGAGATGTTCATCCTGGAGGAGCTGGAGGAGCGGCAGCTCTTGGCTGCCTGCAGCCACCCCAACATCCCCAGAGGTGGGCAAGGGAGCCTGGGGGGGCTTTGATGCTGCATGAACAACTGCAGGCAGAGGTGTAGCAAAGGGAATGCAGAGCATTTAATGGTGAAGCGTACAAAACAGTGCATAAATGACAATATTCCCAACCCTTTCCCACCCCTAACAACAGTTTCTGATCCCACCCCCTGAAATTCCCACCCTCTGATCAGTTTCCCCCTGCGATCAATTTCTCCCTCCCACCAATAGTTTCTTCCCCCTCCAAAAAACTTCCCAGCCCCCCAAAAATCCCACGCCAGTAATTCCTTCCTCCCAATTCCAGCAATTTTGGAGTACAATATTATCAGAATACAATTTCTCACCCAGAATTGCCACCCCACAAAATGCCCTCCCCCTCTGCTGGCAGGTGAGATCCATGCCCGGTAGCTGCCCTTCCCTCCTCCTTGGCATGACTGCAAGTGCTTTGGCTTCCTGCAGAGAGATGCTTTGCTCTGACTGGCAGCCGCAGGTTCCTTCTGGGCTGGCGCCCCTGCAATTGCATCTGTGCTGGAGGAAGCAGCATGCCCAGTAGCTCCCTTCCCTCCTCCCAGGCACGGATGCTAAGATTCTGGCCTGCTCCAGACTCGGTGGGCGTCTGTGCTTTGCCCTGATGCTGCATTCTTTTCCATTGTTTGTTTGTGTTGCTACTGCTGCTGGAAGGGTTGTTGTTGGTTTGCTCTGTATGTTGTCCTGGTTGTTTTACTGTTGTTCCTCTCTTGGTTTACTGCTCCTTCTGCATTGCAATGCGTGTTTTTTTTCCAGCTTTCTTGCTCTTCTTTTCCCTTCCGTTTGTGTTCTTTGAACTCCTTTTGCTTTGCTAAGCGTATTGCCTTGTGTTTGTGAGGATTTCAGGTGATTCAGCTTTGCTTTCCTTGGCTTTTCAGTCCTTCGTCTGTCTTTGATTTGTTCTGGTTTTGCTTGGCTTGGCTTTGCTCTTTGGTTTTTGTTAGCGTCCTAGCCCTGCACTGCTTTTCAATTTCCATTCTTTCCTTCCATGGCTAAACATTGGTGGGCGTTTTTCTCAGTTTACTCTGGTGGGATTCTTTGCTTTGCCATGAGAGTCCCTTCAGCTCATTGGCTTTACTTTAGTGTTTCTGGAGCTTTGCAGCACCTCTTCCATCAGGTGTGCTGTGTTTGGCGATGGAAGTGCAGGGGCAGCCAGTTGGCTCGGCACAGGCAGCTGAGGGGATGCTGCCTGGTGCCCAAGTGAGTTGTTGAGGAGCCCAGGTTCAGCATCTGTGTTGTTGCTGAGCTCTCTGCTGGCCCTGGGGGAGTGAGGCAGCTCTGATGGAAGAGGAGGAGTCGAGGCTGCTGGAGACACGTGGGCTCGGTGGTTCTGTGGCAGTGGTGCGCTGCGTCAGCTCTTCCCTTTTGCTGCTGTCCAGAGCACTCGCAGCTTCTGGAATGGCAGAACATCCCCCGGAATGATGATGGTAGCCGTCCCACCCCCGCTTGGTGCAGACACCCACTGGTCATCTGTGCAGACTGCAAACTCACCATCAGTCCAGGTGAGGAAAAGGTCAATTTCCACATTGTCGGCAATGCTGTTGGTGCTGGGTCTCTCTTCTGGTCAATGGAAGAAATGCCCAGTGGGGCAATGCCAGCATTCCCCCAGGCACTCAGCGCAGACAGCCCCCCATCAGCTGTGCTGCTCCCAAACACACCGCTGTTGATCCACGTGAGCAGCTCATCCATGTCTGCGGTGTCGTCCAGGATTCCAGGGTTGGATGTCACTTCTGGAGAAGGAAGAAAATCCCCAGAGGGGCACTGCCAGCTGTCCCGCGCCCACTCAGTGCGAGCACCCCCCCGCCAGCTCTGCTGCCCCCAGACTCGCCCTCGTTGATCCACATCAGGAGCTCAGCGATTCCTCGGCGACGTCCTCTGGGGTGTCTGCGCTCATTGTCACTGCTGGCAAAGCAAGAGCATCCCCAGCGGGGCAATGCCAGCTTTCCCCTCCCAGTCAGGATACCCGTCCAAGTGATTGCCAGTCGTCACCACCCGAAACCGTGTTTCTCCAGCCCATAGTTAAGGACTGAAACTGCCAGCATTAATTACTGGTTCTTGAAAGTGGCAGCAGCTGTGGTGGGCCTGTTAGACAGGTGACAATGAAAAGGAGTGATTTGAGTGGGACAGCCCTGATTCAGCTGAGAACAGCGCAGGAATGAGTCAAGGCCCATGCAGCGTTTGCCAAGCTTGTTACTGTGAACTGCTCCTGTGTGCCTCCAGAACATCGCTAAGTTTACATGTGGGCTTTTTCTCCTCGCTTTGGCCGTGTCTTGGGGCATTGCTAGCGAGGACAGAGCAGACAGCGTTGTCTTTTCTGCTCTTCTCTCTTCTGTGTTTCCCTTTTCTGCTCTCTTCCTCACTTGCTCTTCAGCTCTTCTCCCTTCGTGTTATCCTCTTTCTTTCTGCTCATCTGCAGTTCTTTCTTCCTTGTATCCCGACTCCTCTCCTGCATCTGTACTCCTCTTCAGCTTATCTTTCTTACCCGTATCCTCTCTTCTCCTGTTGTTCTCCTCATCCGCTTTTCTGACTTAGCTGTGTCCTCCTTGCACATCTTATGCTCTCCTGTTCTTCTGTTCTGACCGCTATGTGCTCTTCTACTTTGCTGCTTTTTTCCTTCTCTGCTCTTCTGTGCTCTCTTCCTCCCTTCTGTTCTTTTTCGTTTCTGCACTTCTCCCTGGCCTGTGTCCTCTCTGCCCATCTTCTGTACTTCTGCCATACCCGTGTTCTCTCTTCTTCTCTTCAGCTGCTCTCCACTTCTGCTTTTCTGTCTTACCTGTCTTGGCTCACCTCCCTTTCCACTCTTCTCCTTGTCTGCACATTGTTCTTACCTTCATCCTCTCTTTTATGCTTCTGCTCTTCTCCTCTTCTGCTCGTCTCCTCATTGCTTTGCTGTCTTGCCTGTATCCAACCGTTTTCTCTGTTGCACTTTTCATCTCCTGCACTTGTTTCTTACCTGTATCCTTTCTTTTCCTTCTCTTCTGCTCTTCTTTATTTCTGCCTTGACTGTATGTGCTCTTCCCCTCTTCTGCTCTTTTAGAACTCTTGTCAGCATCTGGTCACTGCACCACAACTCTGTGTTGGACTTGATTTGGGGGTGGAGGAAGGTAGGTAGGGCCTAGATTTGTGCACGAAAAGCTATTGTGCTGTGCCCAGGAGGTGATAGAAAAGAGCCCTGAGGAGCCAGGAGCACAAAGGCAGTGTGTTTCTGCAAAGGCCGCAGCATGAGCACATGTGAACCTTGAAGGACTGCTTTGTACCTCTCCAGGAACCGCTTTTGAGTGGGGAATTTTCTGGAGCTGTTTCCAGTTGTTGCTTGGAGGAGCTGAGGCCTTTCTCCTTGTATCTTTGCAGGAAAGGGAGCGTCTGTGGTGAGATGCTCAAGTGAAATTCCCTGCACCAGCAGCCAGTTTGTGTCCACGTGATGCACGGTGAAGAGAAGCCTGCAGTTCTGTGAGTAAACCTGGCAAATGGAATAATGGTTGTGGCCAAGATGGCAAGTGTGTGAGGAGGGGTCTTTGGACAGGCTGCTCTTCGGTTGGTTTGGTTTTTTTTGCAGGGAAATGCCATTTCAGTTGTTAGTTGTGAGGGTTGGTTGGTGCTTGTTTGAAAAATATTTGTCGTCTAGACAAGCAGTGCTCTCGCACCAAAAAAGCGAGAAATCTCCTGTGCATTCAGTGTTCTCCACGAGCCTTCCATTTAGGGACATTTAGTGCCTCTAAATGCCTGTAGCAATGGTGGGAGGATAAATGGGGAAGAGATGAGGTGCCATTTGTGTGCATGCTCTGTGCACAGAGCAGGCGTCACCTGCTGCGAGCTGGGAGCTCTGCAGAGCATGCTGGATTTGTTTTCCTTCCTTGTTGGAGCGCTGTTACAGTCCGCACCCGTTCCGCTTCCCCAGGAGACCGCAGCTTGGCCAATTACTGAGGTGACACCAATATGATGAGCAGTAAAATGGCGTTTATTACCCGTATTAACTACCTTATATAGCTTAATTACTTCGTCTACGCCCCTAGGGGCCTACATCACACATCAATCATTAGAGCAGGGAGGGAGCTTAGCACATCAGACCCCGCGGGGGGGTCTCTCAATTTCGCAGTTGCTGACAACAGAGCGCAAAGCTTTTGTAGGTGCTGTGTGCATTGTAAGTAACTGAACTGTACTGAGACAACCGGTGTCCTAGAGAGAGCCCCGCTGCAGCCTTTTTGTTTGGGCATTTTTATTCCCTCTGCGGATAAAAGGGACTTGAAAAACTCACAAGTACAACTTGCTACTGCTCCGGCCTGTCAAGTGGGGGTGATGACTTTCCTGCCATTGGGGCAGGGAGGAAAGTAGCAAAGAAATTAATCTGCCAGCGTGAAGAAGCAGGTCTGGAAGATGGTAACAGGCACGGTAGGCCAGTTAGCAAGATGTTAGAATCCTAGAATCCGCAAGGTTGGAAAAGACCTCCGAGATCATCAGTCCACCCATGCACCGATCAGCAATAGTTCTCACTAATCCATGCCCCTCGACACAGTGTCTGAACGTAACCTCGAGCACCTCCAGGGTCAGTGACTGCACCACTTCCCTGGGCAGCCCTTTGCAGCACCGACCACTCTTCTGGAACAGCAGTATTTCCGAACATCCAGCCTGAATCTCTCCCGGCACAAATTGAGTGCTCTTCCTTCCCAAGGGTCTGCCCATCCCAGTGGATGATGAGAGAGAGCCCCAAGGTCCTTAGTTTAGTTAGGGCCTTTTTTCTCCATCCCTCAGTTGTTTTTTCATTCTTCTTTTCTCCCTGTTAGTGTGACATATCTGGCCCATCAGGTAATTCAGCAGGGAGTGGTGTCTTCTTGCCAAGCTGCGGCAGGTGGGTGCATGCACTTCACTGCTGGTATGACAAAGCTGAAAATGCCTGAGGTGTTTGAGAGCTTTGAGATGGAGAGTTCTTGACCTAAGGAAGAGCCCTTTGGTTCTTGCCCCCTTGCTGAAGAGAGAGAGATCTTTGAGTGATCTGAGGGGTGTAGGAAGGGAGCTGACAGGTTTAGGGTTCCTTTGCTGTGCTCTGCCCAGGCTGTGACAGTGCTGGGGTTTGTTTTTGAGTCACGCTAAAGACAAAATTAGAGGGTTTTTTGTGCAGCCTGAAACCCTGCAACTCTGCTGTAGGGGCTGCAGCCCAGGGTAGGTGCCCTGTCTCCACAATTGCTGACCACACTCTTCCCTTCTCCACAGTGACCACGGCCAGCCCCTGAAGCTCCAGTCATGAAGGCCCTGTATGTCATGTCCAACGCCATCTGTCTGTGCTGCCCATGGCTGTGATGGGTGCTGCTACCTCATGTCCCCTCAAATTGCCAGGCATCCAAGCTTCTCCTCCTCCACCAGCTCTCCGCTGGCTCCAACACCTTTGCCACCTCCCATGTCGTGTGGTGGAAATGCATGGTGCTGGGGTGGGCCCAAACTCCCACCCTGACAGCAGGCACGTTTCCAAAACCTCTGCTCACTTCCTCATCCTGCTGGCTCATGAGAAGATCCTGTTGTCAGCTCTGCCGACCAGCACAGCAGAGGTGGGATTGTTACAGGCAGCTGGAAAACAGCAGGGGAATAACCATTTCCCCCTTTGGCTGTTATTTCTTGAGAAATGCTGTCTGGTGAGTGTTTAGTCAGGGCCTGATCCACTGATGGAGCATCTGGGGAAAGGACCCAGTCAGCCCTGGGAGCACAGGTGAGGGCAGTTCAGTTGTATGATGGAATGAGGGGAGCCTGGCTGCACCTCTCTTAGACCTCATTGAAGGGCTGACCCTGCAGTGGGCAAGGATCTCTGGTTGGAGATCCCTCCCTTGTGGAGTTTTCCCTGTGAGCCTGGATCTTCAGAGACTGGTGAGCACTTTGTCTTTGTAACACCCTTCTGTTGCGCTAGTCCCTTTGTGGTTACACCTCCTTCCACTGCATTGATCATTCGGATTGTTACAGACGTCCTCTGCCCCTTCCCACCTGTAAAGCAAACAAGGTGATGACAGAGCCTTTATTTGAGATATAGGTGCTGTAGAACAGGATATCAAAGAAAGAGGAATCGACTCATCCCTCCCAGCAACAGTTTGGCAGAAAGTGGTGAGCTGAGGAATGCAGCCCTTCTGCGTTTGAACTATGGTGTGCTGAAAGGTGAAAGGGGGCTGAGGGGTGAGGGGAGGAGACCTGTGCAGGCTGACTGTATGTGTGCTGCTGGGAGCACTGCTGAGATGGAGAGAGAGGAAGACTCCCTCCACTTGAGGTACTCGTGTGCTCACGCAGTGGTTCAGGCTGTGACCTGGCAATTCCACTGCACCACCCGTCCTGCACTGTCCATGTGCCACCTGCAGATGTTGCCCAGCTGTTGGGCAACTCGCTGTGACCTCCCTGTCTCACTGCTGCCTTGTGCACTGGACTTCACAGCATCTTGATGGTAGAGTAGTGGTCCTCTGGAGATGCTGAGCAACAATTGTGAGCTGCACCCTTTTCCTGGACCAGTATCACAAGCCCTTCTCAGCCCAGAGCCTGTCTCTCTTTCCCTGGGGTTCTATGGATAAGTCAGCAAGATGGGACTTTGCCAGCCAGGTGGTTTCAGCTTCACCACCCAAATGACAGCAGGGCAGTCCTGCAGCTCATGGCAGCCCTACGGCTCTGTTCCTTTGCCAGGCTGGAGAGCTGAATCAGCTCCAATTCTACAGATCCTTCCCTGAGTCCTGCTTCTAACCACCGATACTTCTGCATCCTCTAGGCCACATCAGGACTGGAAAGAGGAGTAGATATCAGGCGGAAGGATCTGGCCTTCTCCTGGGTGATAGCCACCTGCGTGGCCTGTTCCTGCTTTCACTTTTCCCCAGGTGGCATTGTGCTTCCCAAGGAGTGCACAGATCTTTCTGATGGGAGTGAGCAGCAAGGAACCAACTGAATCATAGAATCGCAAGGTTGGAAAAGACCTGTAAGAGTCTCAGCTATAGAGGTCCTATAAGGGTCTCAGCTTCCTTCCTGCCCTGTGCTTGACTGAGGGACCCTGCGACCAGCTCAGGAGGTAAGAGGTGGCCATGGGCCCAGCTCTGCCAGCTTTCGCTGCAGAAGGGAGCAGTTCAGGGAAAGACACAGCCTGGGTGAGCCTGAGCTTTACTCTAGCATCTGAGGGAGCTGTGGACACGACTCATAAAGGTGTGGGTCAGCTGTCGATATTCAGTGTTCTTAAGCAGCCCAGCTGTATCTCACAGGCTGTAGTCACAATTTCTCTGCGAGGCTGAGATACCCTGAGGATCACAGCGTCTCTCGTTTTGCTCTCATGCCCTTGCTCACAGTCTCTGAGGAACAACTTGAGCCCTGTGACCACGTCCTCGCTCATGTGCTGGAGTCACTTTTATGCGTTTTGATGTCAGGGCTCTTGGGGCAAAACGTGCCTGGACACTGCCACACATTTAATGCCTTTCTGCGGTGCACACTGGAGGATGCAGAACTGGCTGGGTCTGTGATGCTTTATGAAGCTGGTCTGACCTATTTCAGCAGCAGTGAGAACTCTTCTCACCTAGTTTAACCCTTAGAGCAGCATAGGGTGACCAGTGCTACCTGGGGATAAGTCTTTTTTTCTACTTTCTATCCCAAGACCTTCCCTTTCCACAGACACAGCAGAAGTGGTCCTTCAGAGCTGATTTACCCCTGCACCTGCTGTGTTTCTTTTCACTTTTTGTGGATGAGCAAGTACCCCTTTAGGGATGAGCATCTCTTTGTTCCTTCCATTTTACAGCTCATAGTGGGGTGCCCAGAACACCCCACAGTTGTGGGGAGCAGCTGGCGCAAGAGAAGTAAGTCCTGAGGCTGCAGCAAAGATTCTGGGTCATTTGCAGTGGCTCAGTGGGACCTTGCAGAGGCAAAAAGCAGCTGGAGATGTGCTCTACAGTTCTGTGCTGGTTTGCAGATTCCTCAGGAGTGGTCCTGGGTCATCTGGCTTCCACCAAGAGTGCTCCTCTTCTCTCCACAGGTGGCATCCCAGGTGCTGTCTGTCTGTGGTAGGTTCCAGAGCAAGGAGGCCTCTCCGTGCCATCGCTGCACATTGATTTCAGCCTGTGGCACCAACACTGGGACGCATGGATGCTCCAGGAAACAGCTGTGAACCCTGGGGCTGGAATAAAAATGCCAAAAACAGCGTAGAAAAAAAAACCAACAGAGGTAAGTCTCAGTTTGTGCAGGAAACACACCTGCTAAGGTGAAACTGTTTTTCCCCTGTGTATAATCAATGGATATCAAGATGTTACAATTGTATAATCAGTGGATATCAAGATGTTACAATATAATCAAGAGAGTTAGGCAAAGTGGGCAATGATAACAAAAGAGAACAAAATGGGAGGCTTACCCTTTGGCTGGGCTCACCACAAAACACCAATAGAGGCCATCTCCAGAAGAGATCTTTCCCCTCTGGTAGCCAGCTCTTAAATAGGTCTAGGAGGAGTGGAGCCTGGCTCCACCTTTTCCGGCAGCAGAGGTGAATTGCCTTCACCTGTGCTCCTCTGGCTGACTCATGGCTCGCCTCAGGTGATCAATCAGAGGTTCAGGCCATGACTCAGTAGTTCCCATACACCCTGCAACCTAGCCCTAATTCCAGGAATCAAGCACACCCCACACACCACCAGCTGGGACCATCCAGTGAGGTTTGTTTTGGATGCTACTCTCCAGCACCCATTTCGAAGCAGCCACTGTGCTTCCCATGGATGCTTGCTGCTGTCCTGAGCCCTTTATAACCTCAGTAGCCCCTGCTATAAGGCAGCATATTTCAGAACTAGAATGGCGTGGTTTTGTAGGAGGGAGCAGGGGGTTTGTACCAGGGAGCTGCAGGACATCCTGCGCACAGCATGGCAAGATGGGAACGTCCACTATGTGTTTGTGTTGGCTCCACAAAACTGCACGGGGGCACAGCATCTCTAGCAAGAAAACCTCTGCAACTCATTCTGCTCCCTTACCTTTTTAAAAAATGACACGGTCCAGCTCATTTTGGCCATGGGACACAGCAGCTCTGACAGCATCCCAGTGTTGCCGCATCCCGCTGCCTGCCTCTCCGAGGGGCCAGGGCCAATCCAGAGCAAAGCAGCAGCTTGGTTCTGCAGTGGAAAGTGGAGGTGTGTGGAGTGCTGTAGGTGTGCTGGCTGTGCCACATCGCCATGGGGTAGAGCTGATGCTGCAGTGAGCCCTTGTGGGATGTTGGTGGTGCCTGGGGTTTGAGGGCTGCTCAAGCTGGCTGTCGCAGGGCTGGGGAAAACAGGGATAACAAAGGGGGATAATGGAGAGAGATGGCTTTGGTGGGGCTGCCTGATTTTTTAGGTGCTCTGGAGGGTTGCTGAAGTTCATCAGGAAATGCGGCATCTCTCCCTTGTAAATGTTTGGGGCTGAGGCACTGGGGTGAGAGTGGAATGGCATAGCTGGGTCTGGAAATGATGGCTTTGTGTTTGGCCAATTCTTGGTGGTCCCTGGGTGAGCCAGTGCCGTTGCTCCTGCCTTCAGGAGGAGCTGGATAAGTCAGGACTGGACAAGATGATGTGGCAGGGTGAGCAGGTGGAAGTGTGAGCAAAATTGTTTTAGAGGCAGAATGTTCTTGTTTCACAGTATTGCATATATGCAAGCCTGCATTCAAGATGGAAGAAAGGGGCCTAGAATTTCAAAGAGATATGATGCAAAGTGGACAATGAGGGTCATTGCAAAAACTGTCCTTCTTTAGGGAACAAAACTTGCCTCCTTTTGAGTTTAATGACAGTCCTGCTATTGATTTGTGCGTGCCCTATCTATTCATTTTTCTGCCTCCCTGATTTTTATTTTTTTTTTTCCACTTTTGCTCAGAGTAATGACTTGCTTCATTCCTTAACTTTATCCTCTCTTCCCAAAAAGTGTTGTCACTTAAACTGGCTTAGCATACCTACTCTATTTATTCTATAAAACCCCGAGTTTTACATTTCAGTTGAAAAATTCACTATCACTATAATCACCAGGAAGAAGAAATGGTTGCTTTAAACTTGTAAAGAAGTAAGATCTCAATCCTGTCAGTCCTCCAACTGAGAGTGTGACAAATGGATGTCACAAAAGGTGAAAAAACACAATCATCTAGGAAATGTAAGGGTTAATGAAAGGTAATATGTCACTTCATGGCAATAGTAACACTTTTCTGATCATACAAAACAGGGACAGTCAGCAGTATGCTAGGGTTGCATTCAGGATGCAGTACTCCAGATGTGGTCTCACCAATGCAGAGCAGAGGGGCAGGATCATCTACCTTGACCTGCTGACCACCATTCTTTTGGTGCAGTCCAGGACAGGAGTGGCTTTCTGGGCTGTGAGGGTACACACTGCTAGTTCGTGTCCACTTGCTATTTACTAGTATCCCTATGCCCATTGTGGCAGGGCTGTTCTCTGTCCTTACATCCTTCAACTTGTACTGATACAAGGGGTTGGTTGCCATTACCCATGTGCAGTAGCTTGCACTTGGATTTTTTGAACCTCATGAGCTTTCTCCTTGTCCCACTGACAAAGTGTCTAAGTCTCTCTGAGTGGCATCCCATCCCTCAGTCATCCTGACCTTATCACATAGCTTGTTGTCATCCACAAACTTGATGAGAATGTACTTGATCCCACTGTCAATGTTACTGCTGAAGATATTAAAGAGCATTGGTCCCACTACTGACCCCTGAGGAGCACCACTTGTTACTTTCTCTAGCCAGACATTGAGCCCATGACCACCACTCTCAAGGTATGACTAGACTAAACTTTGTTCATCAGTCCACCTTTCAAATCCACACATTTTGAATTTGAAAAGAAGGATATGATGGGGACTACGTCCAAGTCTCTACTGACATTAAGATAGATGACATCAAGCATTTTCCTCATCCGCTCATGTAGTTATGCCATCATGAAATGCACTAGTTCTCTTTTCAAAATTAGTTCTTTTTTGTAACACTGAACAGTATAAATTGTATTTTCTTTACGTAGCAGTAGCTAATAGCTTTTACCTGAAATGAGCGTGTTTCTGAAGAAACAAAAATTGGATATGCTACTTTTGAACATTTTCTATTTTTTCTTTGTCAAATCCTAACCATTTTAAATGCATAGGTTTTCTTCAGTTTTGTTTATTTTGCTTGCTAAGTCAGGGCTTGAAACCGTGATTGAGCACCTAGTAGTAAGGCAGGGCCAAGCCAGGGGAGCTCAAGCGTATGCAGTGCACATGAATGACCAGTATGGGTATTGACAGGATCTTCCTCTTCCCAGACCTCATTTAAGTGTTGGCAGTGGGGGTGAGGGTATCTCATCTGGAGATCCCTGCATAGCTGAGGCCTTCCAAGGATAAGCAGGTTTTTTTTCCTTATTTCTGTCTCCATGACTGCTCTGTTTAGCAAGTTTTCACTCACTGCAGCCTGGGGTCTTGCTACTCTGCTATCACTGTCGTGCTTTTCATTGTGTTACAACCACTAATTTAAGTGACTTGCTAAAACTTACAGGGCAAGGACAGTATTTAAGTGAGCCAGGAGATATTTGGCCTTGTATTTCATCTTCTTCTTCTTACAAAGTACCCTTGTGTGAGGAAGTTTGTGTGAGGAACATTTGTTTTGTGGAAGCTGATTCAGGAGAACTCAATTTTTAACATTCCAAAGGGAAATCTCTCTGGAGTTATGACTACAAGCAGGCAAGCAAGAACTGAATCTAATGTAGAAGTTTAGGACCATATGAAAAGACAGCTACATTAGTGAACTGGACTGCCTGCATGAGTATGCTCCCTGGGATTCAACAAAATCTAAAGTTGCACTTTATTTCTTTGATTACCATTCACTCACTACTTCAAAATCTCAATTTTAATTCTATACAAATTTTCATTTTTCTGCTCTATGTGCAGATTTCCAGAAGAGTGCAATGCAACCAGCAACAGGTTTTGCAAGAATGGGATTTATTTATTTCTTTGATCCATATTCCAACAACAATTTTTGTTTTGTCACAGCCAATTTTCCTTTCTCTTAATAATCTACTTGCACCTTGGAGGCATTTGTTAGAGGTAAACCCTATGGTTATCACTACACAGCCAGTAAACATAGTAGCTGGCACTCCAATTTTCATCACAAAGGGAACATTAAACATGTCCACACGGCAAATTAGAACCCCCACCCCCCTGTAGTACCGGATATAGTGATCCTGCCCCAGATATCAGGACAAAGGATGTTGTACCAAAGGCCAGGACACGCCCCAGCACAAGTGGAGGTGTTTGACTCAAGACAAAAACACAGCCTGTATCCTACCACTGAAGGCAGGCCCACCACTCCTCATACCTTGTAAACATCTGTACTACTCCCCTTGAGGCTGTGAAGTCCACAGGACCACTGGTAGGAGCATCAACACTTCAGTGTGCTTCAGTATCTGTGAGGGTATGTCATGACACCAGGTGGTGGAGTGCTGAAGTTCTGGGAACCAGTGAACCCAAACCTGAACTGAAGAAGATAAGCCTCCAGAAGCAACATCAAGTACTGTTCCAACACAACCATAAGAAGACTGTCAACAATCACCTTGCAACAATCACCTGTCAATCAAATCATTGATAAGTACTGTACCGGCATCACGATACACCTTGTACTTCATGTTTCCAAAACAGCAGGAGTTTACCCCTGACCTATTCAATCTTTGGCTCAGGCTGTGACCTAGCAACTCTGCTGCACTCCATCCCTTCCCAGCCAACGATTGAACATTAGTTGAGAGGTCAAGGCTATCCCAGGGAGCTCAGGTGCAAGCAATGATTGGAAAAGGTGCTTTTATTTAAGTGTTAGCAGCAGAGGGAGCAGTATCTCTCTGAGTTTGCTCTTCTTTTGAGTTGTTACTAGTTTCTGGAAGGGGTGAGCTAATTTTTCTTCATTACCTGCTGCTATGGTTCTTGTAGGTTATGTATGGTTACCTGTTAGGTATGGTCATATGGTCTTGTATGGTTACCTGCTATGGCGCTTCTATCCCATTAGAAAGCACTGTCGTGACATTCTTTTGCCATGTGACTTAGTTTAAAATATTTCCTTAAGGTGACAGCCTTTTCTCAGTCCTGTTGCTTTATTTGTCAGTGCTGCTCTGCAAACCTTGCTGTGACTCCGGGCTAGGCCTGGCCACTCATCAGGGTAGAGCTGCTGCCGTGATAGATACAGCTGTAGGGG